CTCACTTGGGAATTGGCCAGTTGTGTCATTCCACTGGGTATGAATCAGCTATCTCAGAAGCAAGAGAACAGCATGATTATCAACAAAGAAGAGTCACCAGCAGTCATTATGAGAGCCCTGCATGGTATGGGAGAGGATCAGTGGCACTAGAGGCCAAAGCATTGTGACTATGAGGCAGAGCAGTGGAGCAGTGCCAAGACCATGAGGCAGAGCAGCAACTCACAAGAACAAGGAAGAGGCTAGAGTACTACATGGCCAAGAGGCTGAGGACAAGAGATAGACATGGCTGCTGGCATGGCTAAAAGGAGCCCTGTTGTGGACAAAGAACCATATCCGTAATGTTCTCTGATCCTGATTTATGGTAACCAGTTAGCGTCCCATGAGTCCTGTGGCATATTTGTTAAGTGGAAGGCCAGTAGTCTACCAGTGGCTCTGCAGGAGAAAGATGAGGCTCTCTGCTGGGGAAGTTCTATGGCATCCAATAGGGCTGTTAGGAGCTGGCATCAACTCAACGGGGGCAAACTTCCCCCATAAGTCCCCAGAGTTTTAAGTATTGTTGGAGTTCCGGGTAGCCATAACAAGAGCTTATCAAACTCACAAAGAAGTCGAGTGTCATGGAAGGGTGGTTGGTGTCAGAATTGGGAACAGTAGGTTCGGGGTGGAGGCATGTCTGACTGCCTCATAGCAATCATCCTCGGGCAGCTGTGGAGTTGGATTCTCCTTCCCACTATGAAGCTGGAGGAGGTCTGATGTGGCCCCTGTGCCATTTCCTCACAAAACAGCCCCAAACAACACCAGTTTGGTTAGGAAAAGGCATTGGAGATGCATGGAGAGAGCTGGCAGGGGACACAGAATCTAAGGAGGAAATTCTACTCCTTAAGAATGAGTGATGTTTGAGAATTTACATAAGATGGGAATGCTACAGTAGAAACTGGTGTGTGGTAGAAAAGTCTTAAAGAAGCAAGAAAAGAGGCCTGGAGAAAATACAGAGACAGGCTTAGGAACAGCACTTCTATAATAACCAGGAAGACATACGAGACAGATCAGTTGCAGGTAAGTGGCTAATTTGGAGGGAAGTTTCTTTCCTTTTTTAAAGAAAAATGTCTTTAAAAGTTTATTAATTTCTTCTCTGTATATGATATAGTTTGTCTTGAGTTCTACTAATAACCACCAGGATCTCTGAGTGTGGAATAAAATATTTTAGACATATGTTACTGTAATCAATAGTCGGCAGCACTATTAAATAATGACATAATTTGTGTTCTAGATTGCTAAAATCAAATTTATTTACTTCAATGAAGTGACCTAATTTACTTTGAAATAGATGTACACTATATTAAATATAGAAATATATGGAGTAGCATCAATTTAAATAATATCTACCCCGGAAAAGAAAAAAATGCAAGTCATTAAGTATTAAACTGACAAAATGTTAGTCACAAGGAGGCAGGAATTTCATTGAATAGATCTTAAAAATGTTGTTAGGTGTTGTTAAGTTGGATCTTTCTAACAGTGGTCTCACATAGAGAATTAAATATTGCCTGGTCCTGCACCAGTCTCATAATGGCTACTATTTTTTGAGCCCACCGTTACAGCCACTGGATCCATCTCATTAAGTCTTCCTATTTTTTCCTGACCTCTTACTTTAGCAAACAGGATGTCGTGGTTTCGGGGATTAGGCCCTCTTGATACCATGTCCAAAGTATGAGCTGGAGTCTCCGTTCTTGCCTCCAAGGGTTACCCTGGCTGTGCTTCCAAGACAGATGTGCTGCTTGTTCGGGCAGTGCATGGTATGGCCAACATTCTTCCCACCCATAGTTCAAAGGCATCAATCTTTTCTGATCTTCCCTACTCACTCTCCAACTTTCCTACGCCTATGAGGAAATTGAAAACTCCATGGCTTGGGTCAGCCGTACTTTAGTATTCAAAACGCCAACTTTGATTTTTAACTATATCTTAACAAAAGTCTGTACCGAAAGGAAGCATGTTTCAGAAAATGAAGTAAAAATTGCATAGGCATAAACGTAATGCCCCCTTTTCAGATGTTGGTAAATAGATGCTTCATTCTTTTTTAAAACTTAAAAATCATCTTTGCTAAATGTACCTAACTTTGGTGATAAAATCCTATCAATTAATCTTATCTGGGAGATACAAGGGATGGCTTCATTAGAACATGACACGTGATAGTAAAGTGGAACAACCTGAGAAAACACCAGCAAGCAATAAAGCGTGCTCAGCGGTTTCTGAGATTGTGTCCACACAGCGATGAGTGGGAAGTGGTTCATGGATGGAGCCTGCATGGTACTCTAGAGGAGGAAGCAGGCAGCACCATAGGCACTGCCAAGAGCTAAGAGCTAGGAAGGCTGGTGGGATCAAGCATTAAAACGGTTCTGTTGCTAAATGTAAAGGACATTTCTCAGTCCTTCACTTAGTAAACTCCCGTGATTTACTGAACGTTCACACGTTTGCTAACAACTCTTTTCCACAGCACACACTCTGCTCTCGGCCTCCATGAAGCATTCTTCTGAAATTCCTCTGCTTCTCTGTTTACTCGACCTTGGCCTTTTTGCTGGGCGCCTGGTCTCCTTCTAACCTCGGGAATGGGGGTGCCCTGGACTCCCTGTGAGGCCATCTCCTCTTCTGACTTTATTTTTAATTTTTATTGGGGGCTCTTACAGCTCTTGTCACCATCCACACACTGATTGCATCAAGCATATTTGTACATATGCTTCCATCATCATTTTCTAAACATTTACTTTCTATTTGAGCCCTGGGATCCTCTTCTGACTTGAGATACCCTGCCTTGTTCTCGCCCCAGGTTTTGTCTGTAACTGTTCAAAAAGTTCTTTCTTATGATATTATATTATGTTCTAAAAACATCTATTGTATTTTCATATGTGCATTCACCTTTGCTGAAAATATGTGAGAGGAGCACTTGGGGACAAAGTTATGAAACTTCTTAAACATAACTGAACACCCTGAGGAAATGAGCCACTGAGCCTGGGGTCTCAGAACCGTAGTCTTGGGGGACACTGAGGTTAACTGGCATAACAAAGCCAACAAAAAACAATGTTCGACATCCTTCTTGGGTGAATAGGGGATGGGGTCTTAAAAGGTCATGATCAGCTGTGTAAGGTGCAACTACGGGAACCCCAACCCCATCCTGAGGGAAGAAGGGCAAATGAAACCAAAACCCATGGAAACAATTAGTCCAACAGACTAATGGAGCACGGGATCATCAGTTCCCCTGACCCCGAGATGAGAAGAACTGGATGGTGCTTGGCTACCATTACCAATGACTCTGAAAGGGATCATATTAGAAGGTTGTGGATAGAGTGGGAGAAAAGGTGGAACAAAACTGCAAAAAAGTAAAAAAAAGACCAGGCTTACTGGTCAGTGACTGGTGGCACCCCTAAAAGAATGGCCCTCTCAACTCAAGTACTCCCTCAACACAAGAACACTTTGTTCTAATAATCCGGCATTCTGTGATGTTCACTTTTCCAACATGATCTCTGAAGACAAAATGGGTGCATAAGCAAATGTGGTGAAGAAAGCTGATGGTGCCCGGCTATCAAAAGATATAGTGTCTGGGGTCTTAAAGGCTTGAAGATAAACAAGTGGTCATCTAGCTGAGAAGCAACCAAGTCCACATAGAAGAAGCACACCAGCCTTTGTGATCATGAGGTGTTGATGGGATCAGGTATCAGGCATCTAAGACCCAGAACAAAATCATACCTATGTGTTTGGGGTGGGGCGTGGGGGGCATGGAGTGGAGTCCCAAAGCCTATCTGTAGACACTTGGATATCCCCTTATAGAAGGGTCCCAAGGAAGAGATGAGCCAGTCAGCGTGCAGTATAGCACCAATAAAATATACAACTTTCCTCTAGTTCTTTAATGCTTACTTTCCCCCAATATCATGACCTCAGTTCTACCTTACAAATAGGATTAGATCAGAACATGTACACTGCTACAGCTAAGAGCCCGCAGCACAGGGAATCCAGAGCCAACAATGAGAATAAAGATACCAGGAGGATTAGGGGAAGGTGGGGGGAGAAAGGAGGCATCAATCATAAGGATCAACATATAACCCCCTCCCAGGGGGACAAACAACAGAAAAGTGGGTGAAGGGTGATAGAGGACAATGTAAGATATGAAAATAATAATCTATAACTTATCAAGGGTTCATAGGGAGGGAGGGCGGAAGAGAGTGGGGGAAAACAAGGAACTGATATCAAGGCCTCAAGTAGAAAGAAAATGCTTTGAAAATGATGATGGCCGCATATGTACAAATGTGCTTGACACACTGGATGAATGTATGGATTATGATAAGAGCTGTAAGAGCCCCCAATAAAAGTATTTAATAAACAAACAAACAAACAATGGCTCTTATCCACGTTTCAAGTCTAGAAATGAATTCATCCCAATAGCTCAATTTTCAGCTAAACAACGGGTCGACAAAGGAACAGTAATACTAGCGAGGTAAGCACACCTTAGAAACACTAACTATTTGAGATGAAAAGGGCAGCATTTACCCAAGGACAAAGTTGGAAAGGGTTAGGAAAGGAGGAATGGAGACTGGAAACACAGGGAGGAGTGGCTAAATGTGCTTATATTCGGGGGACTCTAATCAATGACAAGAAACGAAATGTGTTTCAATTGTTGGCTGTAAAACTGATGATTTGCTTTATAAACCTCCATCCAGTTCACAATAAAAAGTTGGAAAAAAAATCTACTTTAAAATAGGACATCACCCCATTTTCTCTCTTTCTTTTTTTTCTGAAGTCATCTTTTATTTTTTTGGGGGAACAATTCAATATTTAACATTCATATGTACATAATTCTTTAGCATATATTTCCTGTAGTAGAATTAGATCATAAGTATGCATCACCCCATTTTCTATGTATGTTCACTACCTGTTTCCAGAGTTGCTAGCCTCATACCTTCATGCCTTAATTTTGTGCCTGTTCAATGAAGAAATCTAAGTTAAAACAAACAAACAAACAAATCAAAATTACCTTTATCACCAAGGTCCCTAAAAAAGGTAGGGCCACAACCAGCTTTTGGGATTCCTGCCAATGCATCCTCGATATCCTTTAAATACACATATTAAGAATTTTAATTTAACTTTTATTAAAGTTCATTTTTATTCTATACACACACACACACACCCTTTACTTACCCTTTGGGAAAAAAATCATTTTTGGGGGATCGTAAAACTCTTATCACAATCCATACATCCATTCATTGGGTCATTCTCCCCCACCTTCCCCTTACCCTCCTGGTATCACTACTCTCATTATTGGTACTGAGGGGTTTTGCTTACCTTTTTTGTCAGCTTCTTGACTAAAGTTTTACCTGTAAGGAAAAAAAAAAAGTACTTAATACCTATATTTTTTTGGTAAGACTCAACTCCCACTAAGAAAGAAAATCATTGAAAACCAACAAATGAAATGTTTATAAAACAAAATGCTTCTCGGGGCTCAAGTGGAAGGCAGATGTTTTGAGAATGATGATGGCAACAAATGTGCTTGACACAATGGGTGGATGTATGGATTGTGATAAGCATTGTATAAGACCCCAATAAAATGATTAAAAAAAAAATAGTGGTAACAGCATTTGCTGAGAACTCACTGTGACATATATGTAATTATTTCTTTTAACCTAAAGTAAATGTCCTTTAAAAAGAAATCCAAGTTAAAAAAATTATTTTAATTGTCCAAGCAGTAGGCTAAAATATCACCATTAAACAAGAAAACAAAATAAACAAAAGTTTGCTAAGCTGTTATTTACAAGATCTATTTTGAATCTTGAAGGAATACCTGTTCTAAAAAGAACTGATTAACAATTATTTCAAGAGGCAGCATATGATAAAGAACGAATGGTATTGAAGGAAAAAGTCCATGATGTACTGAAGGTATTAGCGAAAAACAAAGATGCAGTTATTGATGGAATACCAGCTGAAATGTTTCAACAACCTAGTCTATGCCAAGAAAGTTGGAAGGCAGCTGACTGACTGGAAGAGATCTCTATTAATACCTGTTTCAAAGAAAGGTCACCCAAAAGAATGCTTAATTACAGAACAATATCACTGATATCACATACAAGTCAAATTTTGCTGAATATTATTAAAAAACAATTGCCGTAGTATATTGACAGGGAGCCGCTAATTATTTAAGCCAGATCAGAACAGGACAGGGATTGGGGGGTATTACGGTGTACACTGGATGGATGGATCTTGGCTGAAACCAAAGTATATCACAGAGATGTTTGTGTTTTATGACTGTGCATAGGCATTTGACATGTGGCTAACAAACCATGGATAACAATGAGAGTCCCAGAACATTACGTTGTGCTCATGCAGAACCTGTACATGGACCAAGAGGCAGTGCTTTGACTGAACAAGGAAATACTGCGTAGTTTAAAAATCAGGAAAGGTGTGGTAAGGCTTGTAGCCTTTCACCATATTAATTTAATCTGTAGGCTAAGCAAATAATCTGAGAAGCTGTGCTATAGGAACAAGGGTTTATTAACAATCTGTGATAGGCAAATAAATAGTCTTGCTTGTTGGAAGCAAGGGGAACTTGAAGTATTGCTAATGAAAATCAAAAGACTGCAGCCTTCAGTACAGATTACAACTCAATGTAAACAAAAATCCTCAAAACTGGACTAGTAGATCACATCATGATAAACAGAGAAAAGACTGATGTTGTGAAGAATTTCATCTTACTTGGATGCAAAATCCATGTTCACGGAAGCAGCCATCGAGAAACCAAGTGACACACCGCCCTGAGTCATCCTGCTGCAGGAGACCCCCAGCACATCACCTGGAGGACCGAAGTGCGTCCCACCAAAGCGTAATATTTCAACACGTTGTCTGCATGTGAAAGGTGGAAAATGAGTAAGGAAGAGTGCAGGAGAGGTGATGCATTTGAATTATGATATTGGTTAAGAATGTTAACTATACAACATATTGTGGGAAGAACAAATTTGTCTTTATTTTTCAAATCTGTCTTTAGAAGTCTCACATACTTTGGACAAGCAGAGACCAGTCCCTGGAAAACGACGTCAGTCTCGCTGGAGTGTCAGTGAGAAAGGCGAAGACTATCAGTACGACGAACTGACAGAGTGGCTACCACAGTGGGCTCAAACATGGGAACCACTGAGAGGACGGCCCAGCGCTGGAGTGCTGTGCACTGCTGTACAGAGGGTCTTCACGAGTAGGAACTGACCGGAAGGCCTCTAACAAGGGCAACAGAAGCGCTGGTTGGTTCTCATTTATGTTTTTGATGATCAAAATTGGAGAAACGCAACTTACCTGCTAAAACCACTAAAAAATAGAACCGATTAGAAAATGAAGAAATCGCATTCTTTTGGTAAAAAGTTTGGGAGCCAGTGTGTACATTCAATTTGTCTTTAAATTTAAAAAGAAGACACAGACACGAGACAGGAACACCTATTCTCTCCAGCTTCCTTTCTGCTACAGCAACCAACTTTCTTGTGAGGGCTGTCGTTTTCCGCATCATCTGGCCGGTTGTTTTTCAGAGGATGATGGTCTTACCTGGGCCTGGCTGCTTTTCTAGCCCTTGTTCACTGGCTACCCAGACCAGGGACAGCAGAGTCCCGTGGTCTGACCTGTCTGAGGGGCCAAGACCTAGCTTGTTCCAGCAGGAGCCACAAGCCAATGCTGCAAGAAATATATATAAATATCTGCTCTAAACTTGAACCTGATAATGATTGTACAACTCTTTTTGATTGAACTATTGACTGTATAATATGTGGATTATGTGCCAATAAAACTGTCTAAAAAGAATATAAATTAAAACCACAATGAGATGCTACTATACACCTAATATGAATGATGAGAAATTTAAAAGTGAGTGACAAAATGAGAGTTGGCAAAGATGTCCTTCATCTGGAACTCACATACTCTTCAGGTGGGAATATAAAATGGAACAACTGAGAAAACAAACAAAAAGGCAAAACAAAACAAAATCCTTAGTATACGGGGCCACATTTTTCTACTTGAGGATAAAACCTGCCTATAAACCATCTAATGTCTCCTTTAAATTTATTTGTGTGTGTGTGTGTGTGTGTTGGGGGAAGGGGTGGGGCGAAGAAAACTCTAGCTGTTCTCCCTTTGTTCTACATAGTCACAACTAGTGTGTGTGCATGTGTGTGTGTGTATATATATATATATAATTTATGCTTATATACAAGCATTTAAACACTCAAACTTATTACATTGATAACTATCACATATAATCATGTAGTTATACGTAGAATAAGTGGGAATACAGTTTAACAGCAAATAAGGTAGACCAAGAGTTGAAGCTGTGCTGATTTACTGCATGAGTATAAAAGCAGGGGAAACACATTATGGTTAGTGGTAGTATTATTGTTATTAGTATTATTGGCAAGGGTTCTTCGAGCATTATGATGGAATTTTGGCTCAGGAAGTAGAATGTTTTTCAAGGTCTCCACCTATTCTAGAAATTCCCTCATGTGGTTTTTACTATTTACAGAGAATTTATGAAGTACAAAACTAGGTAGGAGTACACCTTGTTATAGGTAGACAGTCATTTTAACACTTAAAATAAATAGAACTACATTAATAAACATGAAATGCAATTACAAGTCAAATAAATCTTTGCTTCTAGCCAAAATAGAGTTACTTGATAATTTTAACTATGAAAACATTACCCAAAGTACCTAATTCAAATTTTATTTTGTTGGCGGTAAATGGACTTTTCACATGTAAGTTTTACCACCAAGACCTTTCTCCCTTTCCAGGCTTCTCACAGATGTACGGAACTCTTTGGACAGAACAGACCCCTCCACACTGCGCATGTCCTCAGTTACAGACGTGATGGAAACAAACGTGGAAAGTGATGGATTAGCCAAACAACCAGAACACCTGACAGTCACTAGAGAAGGAGACAAAGGGTCCTTTGCAGGGCGTTTCCTGCATGGGGTCTCTAACTTACTATTTATTCTTGTTGGAATGAGTCTAAAAGATCACCTCTGGTTGATGTCTTGCTAGAGGAGACAAATGGCAATCTCCTCAAATGTCTAAAGTAGCTTCCTTGCCAACTTTCCAAGTAGTCTTGAAATGCATTAAAATTGTGTGTTTGTGTGTGTGTTGAATGTGACTTTCCCCGGCCACCTTACACACATGGTGAGGTAATGAATTAGAATATTGTAACCGCAGTTGAATGCTGATGTAATGCGGACCCAGAGCAGTTGAGAGAGTGCATAAGATGGGCAGAATCCATCATGGAGGGCATCAGGGACGCTTTTCCAAAACAGAGACGTTTACAGTAAAACCTGAAGAACGAGGCTGAATTAACTCAGAAAGGGGTGGGGGTGGGGTTGGTGGTTAGAAGCATCCCAGGTAAGGAGAGTAGCTTGTCAATGAATCAGGGTTATGAGGGACGGTGCTGGAACACCGCAGAGCAGAGCAGGCCCTGCCAGACTCTTCCGGCGTGATGAGTGCTGCCACGAGCCGTTCTGGTGGCAGGAAGGTGAGGTAGTTCCTGCTTTCTCAGAGTAGGTGGTCAAGTCATGTATGAGAACGCATGGGGGAAGCGTGAGGCAAGAACCTTGTAGATGCTGAGCACACGCCTTCGAGCTCGCCAGTGCAGAGACATGAAGGGTTTATGGACAGTGACACTATTGTGAGACTCTGCCAAATTCACTATCAGTTCTGGAAGCTGTCAAATGTGTCTGTCCTTCGGGGTTTCCTATGTATAGTCCTGTTGTTTGTGGATAAAAGCAGCGTTCTCTCTTCTCTCTCTTGCAAATGTGCTTGTCTCATTGCTTTTTTTTTTTTTTGCCTTTACACCGGCTAAGGTTTGGGTCCAGCACCCACCTGTCAGCTCACTTTGTGGCTCAATGATGGCTTGTGTGTTGCTATGATGCTGGCAGCTAGGTTACCAGTGTTTCTAATACCAGCGGCCACCTGTGGTAGCCAGGCTTCAGCAGCGCTTCTCAAGGAAGGCAGATTAAGAGGAAAGGTCTGGCCACCTGCTTTCAAACGTTCACCAGGGAAAAGCCTAGGAATTACAACAGGACAGGAGGGAAGGGGGGTGTAGAAAGGGGGAATTGATCACAGGGAGCTACATATAACCTCCTCTCTGGGGGACGGGCAGCAGAGGGGTGGGTGAAGGGAGACGCCGGGCAGTGTAATATAAGATATAATAATAATTTATAAATTATCAAGGGTTCATGGGGGAGAGGGGAGGAGGAAGGGAGGAGGAGGGGAAAAAAAAGGAAAATGAGCTGATTCCGGGAACCCAAGAGGAAAGCGAATTTTGGGAATAATGAGGGCAACAAATTTTTAAAAAACAAAACAAAAC